TCCGATAAATACAATCACGACAGATCATAATCCCGACAAAAAACTCCCGATAACCCCCGACAATCAGAATTTTCAAATAAAGGTTAGGCTAGGGTTAGCTATGTCTTATAAATTGTCGGGATTTTTTAACTGTCTGATTTTTGGTTGTTGAGATTTTTTTGTCGGAATTTTTTTGTCAGGATTATGACCCGTCGGGATTTGACCCAAACCCCTTTGTATCCAAAAGAAAAATTATAAAAGACTTTAGAGAATTTTCGACTTATAAATTGTCTTATAGTTTCTTTTTTTCCACTTAATCCTTGTAAATTTTCTTCAATCAAATTTACCAGTTTAATTTCTACAAAAAAATTACTATTAAAAATAATTTAATATTATAGCATTCAACTGTACAAAGCATACAAAGTACACATAGCATTATTCATAATAACTAGCAGTTACAAAAAAAAATGACACAAAACCAATCCACATCAAATAATAAAATAGACTTTGAACGTCAAGCAACGTTAGTATCAGATGCGGCTGTAACCATAAAAAATATAAAAAATGTCGATGATCAGATTGTTACAAGCAATAGCTTGTCATCGTCTAACGCTACTTTATTACATGGAATTGAATTAGATTTGCTTGTTTTTGGGTTCGTAGAGATTAACTTCCCGTTGTTCTAATTATATGATAAAATTATTAATTTAGTTTTATTTACCACATTATAGTCTAGGATGTGCCATGTTTTTAGCCTCCTTAGATGAAACAATTGTTGCAACCTCTTTACCTAGAATAGTTTCAGATTTTAATGGATTGGATCAAATCGCATGGGTTTCAAATTCTTATCTACTCACAGCGGTAAATAATATTATACATTGATTCCACTTCGTTCAAATTATATATCATGTGACACTCACGTGAATCATGCTATCGACACAGACTTCCTTTCAACCAATCTATGGAAAATTATCTGATATTTTTGGTCGTAAAGCAACATTCTTAGTTGCAATTATCATCTTTGAATTAGGCAGTTTGTTATGTGGCATTGCTACAAATATGGTAATATAACATCTTTTATTTTTCATTTTCTCAATTCTTATTTTAAATATTCATCACTTTTTTTTGTTTTTTAGGTTTCATTGATAATATTCCGTGCAATCGCTGGTATCGGAGGTGATGGTATAATTGTGTACGTACTTCATTGCCATATCATTTATATTAAATCTTTATGCATGCTAAATTTTTATTTTTAATTTTTCTTTTTAGTCTCACCTTAGTTATAGTTACAGATATTGTCAGCTCCAAAGATCAGGGAAAATACCAGGGCACTATTGCTGCATGCTATGGTGTTGCTTCCCTTACAGGCCCTCTCTTGGGTGGTGCTTTGACTGATCATGTCAGTTGGAGGTACGCATGTCAAGGGGATACCTTATTTGGTGCAAAAATTTAATAATATTATTATCGTTTTACATTATGTCAATCGTAAAACTCACACCACTAAATTTATTTTCCCCAAAAAATAGATGGTGTTTTTTCATTAATCTTCCTTTAGGTGCAATAACGATAATCGCTGTGGTTAGGTTTCTTCATTTAACAAAACCATCTGGTTCATTACTTGATAAAATTAAAAGAGTTGATATTATCGGCACCATTGTAATGATCTCATCAACTGTTTGTATCTTATTACCTCTTTATTGGGGCGGTAGCACTTATCCTTGGAATAGTCCCGTGATTATAATACTTTTATGTGTCGGCGCACTCGGTTACATAATATTCGGTCTTGTTGAGAACTATATCGTTACTGAACCACTTGCTCCACGTAAGTATTCATGGCTTGATTTATTTGCAAGAATTATATTAATTAATCTATTATAACATTGTTGCTAAGAATTGTTTTCTCTGTTTAATAGCACGTTTATTTACAAATCTTAATATGGTCTCATGTTTTCTAACATGCTTTTTCCAAGGAATGGTATACTTTAGTTATGTTTTTTATATGCCATTTTACTTCCAAGTTATAAAAGGTGATTCAGGCAAGTATATCTATCAACTAACTCTCATATTCCTCGTTAAACATCAAATAAATTCAACAACCTATACGTTTCTTTTAAACAGCTACACAGTCTGGAGTAGAGCTCATACCTTACATTCTTGGTGTGGTAACTTTCTTATTCCTGACCGGTCAACTATTCTCTCTAACAGACAAAATACAGTTTCAATTAGTTACTCTAATTTCTTCGGCATTGACAATAATTGGTGCCGGGTTAGCCATTACATGGAGAGAAAATACTGGATATGGTGAATATATAGGATGCATGTTAATTGGTGGTCTTGGAATGGGTATAGGTCTTCAAAGTACTACATTATGCGCTCAGGGATTGGTTGAGCCAAAGGATATAGCCTCGGCTACTACATTCTCTTTTTTTTTTTAGGAATAGTAAGTATTCAAAAAAAGAGTTAAGTTTTTCAAAATTATTAAATTATTTTACTAATTCATTATCTATATTTTTTCTCTTTAGTTGGGGGTGTTTTTGGAATTGCAATGTCAGGAACAGCATTTAATAATAGACTTTCTCAAGAATTAAGTGCTTTAACTTTACCTCCATCATTTTCAACGCAATCCGTATATTCTATAAAATCATTGCCACCAGATACACGGCTATTGGTCATTCACGCTTATGTGTTAGCATTTCAATTCACCTTTACGCTTTTTACAATATATTGTGCGTTAATGTTTGTTACAGCGTTGTTTTTGGGAAATAGTAAACCAATACATAAGGATGGAGAAAATGATTCTGTATTTGAATAATTTAATTGTTTAACAAAATACGTATAGTTGATTAAAAAGATCACAAGTAATTAAAAATTTTTAGAGAAATGTTTGGGAATAGCCATCGAAACAGCTTATCGATACAGTTAATGACTAGCACTACCGTATAGCGCTGCATATAGTACCCGGTGTGACCCGATTTTTTAAATAGTGAAAAATTAAAAATCACACGTATTTTATATCACGTAATCGTATAAATAATATTTTAAAAAATTGATCTAAAATTGATCTAAATTATTTGTCACGCGTGGTACTATATGCAGCGCTATACGGTAACCTTAATGGCAAAGCATGACCAGCACTATAGTTAAGGTTAGTGTTAGGATATAGTAGATTAGGGAATTATATCACGTGCTTCTGTGTTTGTGGCAATCATATGGGCGGAAATCTTCAATTTTGTGATTTGTTAAATTGAATGATGAGATTAAATAGAATTCGAGCCAATAGTATATGATATCGTGCGATTACTAAGATTAAAAGTGATTATAGTTGTCGGGATCGCTACGATTAAGTAGAGCTAACACCTCACTATGTTTGAAAATTCTGATTGTCGGGGGTTATCGGGAGTTTTTTGTCGGGATTATGATCTGTCGTGATTGTATTTATCGGA